TCTGCTAGTTGATTAGACGAGTTGACAAAAGCTGTCTTGATTTCTCCTGACTGAATCTTTTCCCGAATGAAGTGACAATCAATCTCTATATGTTTGGTCCTCTCATGAAAAACAGGATTAGAGGATATATGTAGCGCAGCTTGATTATCACAGATGAGTGTCATGGGTTGTTTCTGTTCACAAAGATGAAGCTCCTGAATCAACTGCTTTAACCAGATCAACTCACAGGTAGTATTTGCCATTGCACGATACTCAGCTTCTGCACTAGATCGGGAAACAACAGGTTGTTTCTTGCTTTTCCATGAGATTAAGTTTCCTCCGAAGAAGACACAATAACCAGAAGTAGAGCGTCTGTCCGAGGGTGATCCTGCCCAATCGGCATCTGAGTAACCACAAATTTCTGTATTTCCCTGATCCGAATACAACAAACCTTTTCCTGGTGCTCCTTTGATGTATCGGAGGATCCTCACAGCAGCATCCCAATGTGAATCACAAGGGGAATCAAGGAACTGACTGGCCGTACTGACAACGAAAGAAATATCTGGCCTAGTCACAGTAAGATAATTGAGCTTCCCAATCAGCCTTCGATAACGTCCAGGATCAGATAACGGCTCCCCCTGTCTGGGCAATAACTTAACATTAGGATCCATTGGTGTATCAACTGGTTTACACCCCAACATACCAGTCTCCTCTAGGATATCCAAGGCATACTTCCTTTGACAGATAGAAATGCCCTGTCTAGATTGCGCCACCTCAATTCCCAAGAAGTAACGCAGCTTCCCAAGGTCCTTTGTTTGAAATGCACTGAATAAATGTTGTTTTAACTGATGGATTCCGTCTTGATCACTTCCGGTGAGGATGATGTCATCAACATAGACTAACAAATAGATGCACTTGTTAGGAGATGTAATCCTATAAAATACAGAATGGTCAACTTTACTGCGAATTAGGCCAAACGCCTGTACAACAGAACTGAAGCGACTGAACCATGCTCGAGGAGACTGCTTGAGACCATATAAGGATTTTCGAAGACGACATACCTTCCCAGACTCCCCCTGAGCAACAAAACCAGGTGGTTGCTCCATGTAAACTTCTTCTTGTAAATCACCATGAAGAAAGGCATTTTTGATGTCAAGTTGAAGGAGTGGCCAGTGACGAACAGCAGCAAGGGCAAGAAATAGGCGGACGGACGCCATCTTAGCGACTGGAGAGAATGTATCGCTATAATCAAGGCCAAAGATTTGAGTAAAACCCTTGGCAACTAGGCGTGCCTTGAGACGATCAACATGGCCATCAGGTCCAACTTTCACAGTAAACACCCAGCGACAACCAACTATAGACTTCTCTGGAGGAGCAGAAACAAGGTCCCAAGTGCCATTGGTATGAAGTGCGGTCATCTCATCAAGCATCGCTTGGCGCCATCCTGGATGGGAAAATGCTTCACCTGTGGTCTTAGGAATAGAAACAGAAGAAAGACTAGAAACAAAGGTGAAATGAGGAGCAAAAAGGCGATCATAGCTCAAGAAGGTATAAAGAGGATAAGGGTTACGAGTAGTACGTGTACCTTTTCTTTGAGCAATGGGAAGAGCCTCTGGTGAAGGATCCGGAAGGGAAGAATCAACTGCAGAGGGCAATGAGTCAGCAGGGGTCGAGTCGACTGGAGGTACTGTCTTACGACGCTGATAAGTGAGAAGTGGACGGTCCTTAGGTACTGGAGCAATAGGTGATGGCTTATCTGGAGTAGAAGCACCTGCATCTGGCAAAGACAAGTCAAGAAAAGGAACAGGAAGAACATGATCAACCTGTGACAATGAAGATGGGATAGAATTAAAGGGTTGTTGATCAAAAAAGGTGACATCCGCGGAAACTAAGTAACGCTTGAGGTCAGGAGAGTAACAGCGATAACCCTTTTGAAGACGAGAATAACCAAGAAAAATGCATTTAAAGGCTTTGGATGTTAACTTATCCTTACCAGGAGTGAGATCATGAACAAAACAGGTACAACCAAAAACATGTGGGGATAGAGGAAAGAGAGGAACATCTGGAAACAATAAGTTATGAGGAATATCATTATTAAGCACAGATGAAGGCATGCGGTTGATGAGAAAGCAAGAAGCAAGGACTGCATCAGCCCAGAAGTGAAGAGGAACATGCATGTGAATAAGAAGAGTCCTGCAATCTCAATGAGATGTCTATTCTTACGTTCAGCTACTCCATTTTGTTGTGGAGTGTGAGGACAAGTGGTTTGGTGTAAAGTACCCTGTGTGGCTAAGAAGTGAGAAAAGTCAACAGAAACATACTCCTTAGCATTATCACTACGTAAAATACGATTAAAAGCACCAAATTGAGTATGAATTTCAGCAGAAAACCTTTGATAAATAGAAAACAACTCAGAACGGTTTTTCATTAAATAAATCCAAGTACAACGGGAGAAATCATCAATAAAGGTGACAAAATACCGAAAACCTAAAATAGACACACTAGGACTAGGACCCCAAACATCTGAATGAATAATTGAAAAAGGAGCATCAGCTCGTTTATTGACTTGATTAGCAAAGGAGGAGCGTATGTGCTTTCCTTGCTGACATGACTGACAATCTAAAGTTTGAAGACCGGATAAAAGAGGAACCATCTTCTGCAATTTCGCAAGACTAGGATGCCCGGGACGACTGTGGATGAGCCGTGGAGATTCTATGAGAGAACAAGCAACTGAAGGACTCGGCACATCAAGGTAGAACATACCCCGTGACTCACGGCCCACTCCAATCATCTTCCCGTACCCGGGTCCTGCACAGAAACAGAATGATTTGAGAATGTGACAATACAATTAAGAGAATTGATCAATTTACTAACCGATATTAAATTATAAGGGATGTGAGGAATGTAATAGACAGATGTCAAGGTCAATGAGGAGGTTGGACAGATTTGTCCAATCCCATGAACGGGGGCCGTAGTTCCATCAGCAAGAGTAAAAGAGGGTAAATTATTAGAATATGTAAGGGAAGAGAAGAGTTCCTTATTACCACAGAGGTGATCAGTAGCACCTGAGTCAAATATCCAAGGACCAAGTGATGCAGAATGAGAAACACAAGCAACAGGATTACCAGTTTCTGAAGCAGAGGCCTGAGATTGAGGAGAGGACTTCCTGAGAAGGGCCTGGAATGCTGCATATTCTTCAGAGGAGAGAGAGACTGAACCATTTGAAGCAGTATCCGATTGAGCTACATTAGCAGCAAAAGAAGGTCGCATGTGAGGATACTTGGTGTAGCAGCGTTCCTCATAATGACCAAGTTGCTGACAGTAATGACAACGAGGTCGCTGACCACGTCCGACTGGACCTCCTGGGCTACGTCCTCCTGGGCCCCGGCCTCCTGGGCCTCTACCACGACCACGTCCTCCTCCAATATGCCCGCGAAAATCAGTACGGGAAACTAGAGCAGTAGAATCAACAGCAGAAGACGATGCAGGAGCAGATTTCTTATTCAAATTCAGAAGACGCTGATACGTTATGGATAGATTAGGCTCCCCACTAGTCAAGATAGTATCACGAACATTATCATATTCTTCGGGAAGGCCAGAAAGTGTGGCAACCATAAAGAGACGTTTCACCTGTTTCCGATATGCAGTAGCATTAGTAGGGTAAGGCAGCATATCCAAATATGCCTGCATCAAAGAGCGACTCTTGCCAATATATGTCTCCATCTGAATGTCGGATGATTTGCTCAATTCCATAAACTGAGAGATGATGAAATAGAGCTGCTGAACATCATTAGTGTAGAGGTTTTTTGCTTCCTCCCACACTTCAGTGCAAGTTTGAAATGAATAAAAGATATCCAAGACAATCGGATCAATGGATTGCCAGGGATACTCAGAAGTTGGTTGTCAATCTTTTCCCAATCAGACTTGTCCTCCTTAGGGACATCAGTAGACTTAGTTGTGAGATGGTTCCCATATCCTTGTCCAAAGAACCAAACTCGAACAGAGGTGGCTCAGTTCTTGTAATTAACAGATCCCTTCAATTTTGAAGAGGTAATGGACCCAATATTGGTAGAGATGATATTGGGAGAATTTCTCAAAGGAGGAGATGAAGACTTGACCTCCGAATGAATTGGAGGGTTTGCTGCCATATCAAATCACAAAGAGACAAACCGAATAAAGAGAAACGAACCTGATCACCAATCAAGAAGAGGTGCGCACAAAAAGTCAGACCCACAAAGAACCAACCACAGATCCAGAAAGAGGAGGAGAAGACGAGCTTCTCTGTCCAAGACCGGCCGAAAAAAGCCGCCGGAATAGTGCTCACGCGCCGGCAGAAGGTGGCGCGTGAAGCCCACGCGCAGAGAAGACTGGAGGCGCGTGAGAGCGCGTGACAACTCCGATGGTGGCCGGACTTCCACAGAGCAGGTCGCCGGGAGGAGAGGGTTCTGTTCGCGTTCGTTCCAGACTGAAAACTCGCCGGAAAAGTACTCCGGCAGCCTGAACAGTGGCTGACGGTGGCTGATGGTGCTCCGGTGACTGTGGACACGTGCAGAAGATGCCTGGAGAGGACTTACAGCCTTTGATATCTTACCGGAAGGACGCACGGCAAAGAAAAGATGACTCCTAAGCAGTGGGCTTAGGTTTTAAAGCGAAGAACAAGATTTCTAAGCGGAAGGGAGGGTTCCCAGAACGAAATAGCTCTGATACCAAGTTAAATGTAAAAGAATACGTTGTGTATTGATCTGTGTCAGGGAGTTACAATATATAGAGACCCTAATGGGCTTAAGTGTAAGGCCCAAACCTAATCCAAACCTAATCCTAATACAGTCAGAATACAGTCAGACTATTTACGGATAAGACAGAATCCAATCATATCTAATCAAATCTAATCATATCATATCTAATATTCTAACACTCCCATTTGAACTCTTTCTTTTCAGGAACAGTTTTCTCTGCAGCAAATTCTTTGGCAACTTCCTTTTCTTTTTCCTTTTCAGTTGCAAGTTCATAATCTTTCTTTTTCTCAACTGAAGGCTTTACCACAGGTTCAATGGCTTTCTCACTCATAGTAGTAATCACATTGCAGTGTTCCCTACTTGGATTTGGAATAGTGTTACCTGGAAAAGTTCCTTGAACTCTTTCAGTGAACTGCTTTGATAGCTGGCCAATCTGAGTTTCAAGATTCCGGATAGAAGCTTCTTGATTCCGGAATGAGGCCCTTGTCTCTTGCATAAAGGCTGAAGTGTCTTCTCTGAAATTATTGGAACTTTGAATGTAGTCTGATGTGGTCTTGGATAGTTGTGCAAAGGCCTTTTCCCATTCTGATTGTTGAGGAGGTTGCTGTTGCACTGGCATAGGAGGATTCAACTGATGGTTCGAACTGTAACTAAATCCCGGGTGTTGATTTTGATTTTTATTTCTCCACCCTTGATTTTGATTATTGCCGTATTGGTTCCTCCCTGGATTATATGGAGCTTTTTGATCATGCCAAATTCCATTAACATCTGCAGTTTCGGGTGCCTGGCAGTCTTCAGTAGCATGAGTACCTGCACAAATATCACAAATGATAGCAGGAGTATTAACAGAAGAAACTTGAAATTCAGAAAATTGTTTTGCGAGAGCATCTAGCTGTTGTTGCTGTTTCTTATTGGATTGTAAAATCTGCTCATTCTGAGCCAAGATGGCATCACAACCATCAAGCTTCATTATCCCCGCTCTTCTCTGTGGTACCGGAGCATTATCGTACTCTTGAGAGGCTAGAGATTCTAGCAATTCTAAAGCTTCCTCTGGAGTTTTTGTTTTTAAGGACCCTCCTGATGCAGCATTCACCAATGTCCTTGTGTTGGGCGTCATCCCTTGGAAGAAAGTTCTCGCTTGTTCCCATGCTTCAATGCCATGTTGGGGACACTTCCTGAGTAGTCCTTTGAATCTTTCCCATGCTTCATGTAGAGATTCACTTCCTTTTTGTTCAAAAGAAGTGATATCCGCCTTGAGCTTTGCCATTTTCGAAGATGAGAAATTTTTTTCTAAAAATTTGGTGGCCAAATCGTCCCAATGGGTGATGCTCCCTTGAGGTAGTGATTGCAACCAACCTCTTGCTTCTTCTTTAAGTGAACAAGGGAACAATCTGAGCAAAATAGCATCCCGAGACACCCCATTCATCTTCAAGGTATCACAGTATAGCAAGAAGTTTTCCAGATGGATGTAAGGGTCTTCCGTGCTTCCTCCGGCAAATTGGTCTTTCTGAATTAATTGTAAAAGTGCCGGCTTGAGTTCGAAGTTGTTAGCATCCACGTTTGGTCTAACAATACTCGCCGTCTGTGGAACTCGAGCAGGAGTCATGTAATCTCCCAACGTTCTCGGAGGTGGCGGAGGTGCATTGTTGTCTCCCATTGCTTCTTCTCTTGGTTCTGTTGAGCTTGAAGCTTCTTTCTCTTGCTGTCTTCTTTCTTTAGCAAGTTTTCTGTTTCTTTTTGCTGTTTTCTCTATCTCCGGGTCGAATTGCAAGGAATCAGTGTCAACGGTACCTCGCATAAACCAGAAAAATAGATTATATAAAAATAAGAAAATAAAACTGAATTTAAATAACAGAAAATTAAATAACAGAAAATAAGGTCCAATCTAAAGAATTAATAGCTACTATTAATGTTGAAATAGTAATCCCCGGCAACGGCGCCAAAAACTTGTTGCTACTCACGGCAAGTGCACCGATCGTACAAGTAATATATGATTAAGTAAGAGATCGTTCCCACGAGGATTACGGTTCAAGCACCAATTCACTATCGCAACTTAAGTTGGACAATCGAAGTTGTATTCGGAAACAGGATTTGAATTGCAAAATTAAAATATTAAATATTGAAGCTAATTACTTGCAAGAATTAAAGACAAGAAATTAAAGATGTGATTTAACTAATAAAATAAAAACGTAGCTAGGGGTTCGATTTCATTTAATCTCCTTATTACGTTTGAATTCCTTCTTAATGTTAATTGTCCTTAGTATCAATCTAATCAATTCTTTCGCATGTTATTAGAGCTCAATCCCTTGTTACTCTAAAAGCTTTACAATATTGGAAGAACCCTAGTTCCCCGGTTATTCCCGAAGCATGCAAGCATTAAATTCAAGAATCTTAAAGATTACGCAAACCCTATGTCTATCCCTAGAATCATAACGTTTACGATGAAGTTATCAGATATGGATCACACACCAACATTTCTATTGTCATGCATTCACCGATGATCATTATATAAGATTCAAGCCTATATAAAGCATTAAAAACAGATAACTTCATTCATGATATAAAGGAAAATTAACACAGCGAATTGTTCAAAACATAATAAATCGACTAAAGTCCATCTAACCCTAACTACTTAAAGAACTAGCCGGACATAGCAAAATCAAGAACAAAAGAAAATAGAAAAGCTCCCCCAAACTCCATAAGTGATTGGTGGATCTTCAATATCTCCAGTGAACACTTGACGTTGATCCGTCTCCGCTGCTCACGAACATGAATCTGATGTTTCTCCGCGTTCCTTCAGCCTCCAAGCACCCAAGAGTTGTTTAGCAATGTAAAAGTTATGTATTTCTGGTCCCCAATGGTGTTTAAATAGATCAAGAGTTCGTATTGCAGTAGAAAACTTGAATGGGCCTAAGTTGGACTTGTCTGGGCGCTTAAGCTTGTGAATGGGGGCTTAAGCTCCCACTTCTAACAACTTGATAAGATCTTCAATCTTATTGTTTTCACCTTGATTCATCTTCTTTTCTGATTTGATCTCTCTTTATCTAAATCTTCATATTTGAATCATTTGTTATCAAATCCCTTTAAAAATAACAAATATATTAATTAGTTCCAACAATCAGATAATGTTCATGATTATCATTTTAAAATCCTAATTTTTGACTTGTTCAACTAGATAATTCATATTATTTTAGTCCATTAAACAAGATAAACTAAAGGTTTATCAATTACTCAGGACTGAAACATATATTCTATAATCTTTTCACCAATATGGGAAAAAATTATGTTCTGTAATCTGTCTGCTGCTAGAGCTATTGAATCCCTTGGCCCTTATACAGAATATAAATATAATCTGTGTAATTAAGATAAGTCTTAACCCTGCTTTCCAATTTGTTGCAAAAGAAACTAGAAGACATAAATAAAATGTAAAGTAAAGCTGCCAGAGCAACATTACTAGGTCAGCATGAAAATGCTTATGTTATGTATGATTATAATTAGTTAGCCCCCTTTGTCTTGCATAAATTCACCTTCACTTGAAAAGAAATCTCTGTCCCAACTCCCAACTTGCTCTCCTAGCTTTATGCATTTAGGATCCATTCTGCTTGCATCAGTAAGTGGTTTGATTTAACTATTAAATATTGGAAAAAAAATTAATGAAAGAGAGCAAACCCAATAAACTCAGTGCAATCATTTCTGGATTGTTTTGAAAGATTTTAAAGACTTCAAATATATTATTTCACATTGAAATTATCCATAATAACATGAATCTTCTTGATCAGTAATTTTCCACACTTGATCCTACATAATATATTCTACCAATCAAGTAATGTCTGGACTGGCCAATCAAGGATGATTGTCTTGATTATGCGCTTTGAGTGGTAAAGCTGAATCAGCTTGAAAACATATAGTTTCTTCTTCCTCAGTGGTTTTGGATTGCCTATACTGCATAAACATCATAGATTGGAGTTGAATTCCAAACTTGCAATCTATAACCCATTTATCCTCTGGACCATCTTCCTGTAAGTCTGAAGGATTATAGTCGCTTTTTGGGATCTCCCCATAAGATCCAACTTGATGCCTATGCAGGTTTATTGCCTCTTGCATAAGTGACATGGATCAAATTTGGTTCTGATCACTAAATTGATGTAGGATAAAAGGTTCTAGGGTTATATTGTGGCACTCAGAATATTTTGTTATTAAGAAATGTGCAAAAGAGATCTGAAACTAAGCAAGTGAATCAACTAGCAGGGGGTTTGTTCTAGCTTAACTAGTGGTCTACGAATCATTGTGGTAGCGAGAGTTTTGCCTCTTTATGGTTCTGCCCGGCTTGAACTAGATTAATCGAGTAATCAATGAACCGGCGTAGAAATTCGAAAAAAGAAAAAGAAAAAGAACCCCTTCTGTCATTAAGGAAAAAAATTATCTATATTTTTTTACGGCCATTAAACCCCTTTATATTGAATAGTAACCCTAATTGAAGACAAATCCCAATGGTTTTGTTGGTCTGGAAAGTAAAGTCTACATGTCTGGATATGTTAAATACTCTATAAGCATGCCTCCCTGGTCAATGCACAGCTACTTGGTAGTAGTACCCCTTAAATTTTACAGGCTTACATGCACCTTCTGACAAATTAGAATTAGTAGAAGTGCACTGCGTAAAGTTCTTCTGTATTGTTTGACCTCTTTTTTTATCCCATTACTATTTCCTTGTGTTACCTTCCATATGCTCTATCTAGGTCTTGGAAGAATTTTTAGAAGTCATAATCCCTGATTATCTTTATGATCATAAAGTATTTAGTTTTTGTTGAAACATATACGTCTCAGGGTGGCTGGCTTTTTCTTATATCGATGCTTATTTCATGCAGAGCTTCTGTACTTGAGAAAGCCTCAAAATCAGTTTGGGATTTAATTTTAGACAATACTGGCCTGGGAAAGGAGATAAGTGAAACTGTTGAAAGAGTGTTTTGTCGATTTAGTGGCCAGGAGCCACCTTTATTTCCACTTCCAAATGGAGAACCACAACCTGATAAGGAGGCTGACAGCAGAAAAGAAAAAGGTAAAGGAAAGCAGAAAGAAAATGAAAATGCGAATTCTAATACTCTATCAAAGAAAAGAAGCTTCAGTGAAATAAATTTGGAAGCAGCGGATGAAACTGCAACCAGGTCCTCTGATCCTGCAGCAATATTTGAAGGTTCTGGAAAATCACCTCTATCAATTTCTAAGACTTGACTTGCGAGTTCAACAAGCTTTCTTGTAACGGAAGTGATCACATCCGGTAAATATATGATTAACACTTGTACGACTTCATTGGAGTTTAGAAGAATCTTGCAAAGTTTTGTGTATGCAACAAACGTCCTAGGATTTGAAGTTCAGAGTAATTTTTTTTTGGTATAACCTGGAGGTATCTCCATTCAACTTCCTTTGGTCACCTTGTTCTCGGAGTACGGCCCTGAAAGCTATCCCTTATTGGAACAACGGGTACATTGAGCTTCGCTACCGGACGAAGGATGAGATTAATCTCACATTCAAGGAGGGAGACACATCCTCTGGCTCTCAAAGATTTTCTAAGAATTTGCTTGAGGCAAGGTTTGAATCCCTGACTCAAACAAACCCTTGGGAGCTCAGTTGACAACTAAGCTACCCTTGGGGGTTAAGTTCAGAGTAATTTATGTTCTTGTATTATTAGCGTGTATAATATTCATAAGAACAAAACAGTATGAAGAGTGTTCTATTGAGAGTTGAGTGGAAGAAACCCCAAGAATTCATAAATTCTACTAAGAATTATTCTACAAGACAATTTGCCAGAAACTTGTTCATGGTACTGCATAAAACTTATGTACCAAAAAAAAAAAACTTCATAAAACGATTTGTTGTTATCGAGATATATTAAGGTTCATTATTAGTAATGACTTACCCAATCTTTACCTAACATTTTCTGGTTCTCATTGATTCCTTTATATTTCTTCCTTCTGTCTTTACCGTTGTACTGTCGGTAAATTTTCACAAAGATTAACAGTCACTATTTTCCATGTCATGTGACAATAGAATGAAACAGTTTAGCCTAAGGGAGAACGTCAGGGCTGTTTAGCCAACTCATTGGAGAGTTAGTTCCAATATCAAAATAATAATATCCATTTAATCGAGTAGTTTAATCAAAATTCACAAACTACAAATAAGGGCGAATTGCAACTTCCAAGATTTGTGGCAAACCTTTACCAAAAATAAAATAAAATGAATACAATCATGAATTCACAATGAACTAAACGTATAGTCTAACCAAAAAAAATCCATTAAACCAAATTTCCTCACTACAATCAGGCTAACAAGAAAATTACTTGTCCACTTAAGAACCTAAAATGAGAGAAAGAAGTAACTAGTTAACTAATATGTGCTCCAAGAGCTTCCAAAGATATGAGGCAGGTCATTTTTGTCTTGTATGGTAAGCAGAACCTTATTCCATTGACACATCAGCAATATTTGCACTTTATTTACTTTTGAATACAACCTCTGGGATATGGCAAGCAAGTGATAGGTAGTTCATAATTTCCACGTCCATTCCTTTGAAAGTGAAGCATTCGTTGATTGCCATATGTAGGAGTGCAGCTACCTTTATGATCAAAATTAGGTCGATAACTAAATAGTTTAAACAAAGATCAATATTATAAATTGCCAGCGAAGTATCCTGATAAGTACAGATTACTAATGTTTGCTACCTGGAGCTGTTGAAGTTGTGTTGATGGGAGTGACAGACATTGACATTGACATGGTGTTGCCAATTAGCTGAAGTTGTTGAATAGGTTGTAATCCACTAGCTGAAGTGTCCAGCTTTGAATTTTGAACCATTTGATGGTTGATTGGTGAATAGTTGAATGGCAATGACAAATATTGTTGACTATTACCAAGAGCTGGGTTGATGGTAGCAAAGGACAATGGCATCGAGTCACCCAAAAGCTGGATTTGTTGGGTTAAAATAGGTTGTTCAAGAACAACTTGTTGTTCATCAGCAAAAGTGGCCATCTTTGGATCTATAAGCATTCGACCATTATTGATTACATGTGATAAAGTCAGGTCAAGCCAAACAATATAAAGGAATATTTTAACCCCGTAGCTTTGTAAAGAACACACACAATGAAAAGAGTGTGTACCTGAAATTGGTTCATTCGTGGCAATGAGAGACACTGGCATTGTATTCCCAAATAGCTGAGGTGAAACCGGAATAGGTTGTTGTTCATCGGCTGAGATGGTTTTTGATACATGTAAATGTGAATCAAAGAAAGCACAGCGCGAACTAGGAAAAGGTTTCTTGCTCAATTCCATCAATCGGTTATCGCATTTCAAAAGCTTCACGTAGAGTTCGCCAAGAACTTTGGGAGGAAATTGAATATAGTACAACCTGAGTAAAAAAATTTGTCACCAAAGAATATAGAAAAAAATAAAATAAATGAAGAATGATATTATATAAACACAAATAAGTTGATTGTGGAAAGTAATTCATGCTAAGCCAATTTAATTGTATCATTTTATGAACAAGTGATAACATTTTTCATTTTAAATAAAAAAAAGTAAAAAAACAAATTGATTAAAAATACACACCGATATTTCGAAGCTTGACCATCAGTGAAGTCATGAGATACCGTCCACATGGTATGCTTTCCAGGTGTTGGTGGAATCTCATGAAAGAATGAAGGCACTTTATCCAGCTGTGAAGGGAAATAATTTATAAGGGTTTAATATTTTTGCTTTTATTGCAAAATTTTTATCCTATCACTTTCATATAAAAATTAGTGGATTCCGCAAACTTTTTCTCTCTCTTCTCTTTAGAATTTTCCCAATTTATAAACATCATGAGAATGTGAGAGAGAGAGTAAGGAGCTCATCAAACGAAAATAATAATAATATTGATCAACTAATTGTTTTAAAAATTAATAATTTCATGCCATATCTTAGCATATTATCTGATGCATGCAAAAGTTTTCTGGTTTGGAGTCTACAATGCATAGGTTCATTTTTATTATTTAATATATTTTTGTGACAATAAAATATTTTATTTAAAAGAATAATGGGAAACAAAAATTCAATTCCTGACTATTTGATCAAAGAGATTAAATAAAGTCAAATAAATTATTTTATTGTATCTCTTAACAATATTAATTATAACGCAAAATAATAATAATAAAAAATCTAAATAATTTTAAAATCAATATTTTAATATACAAGTACTCGCTAATATAAAACCAATAATTCCGGTGCTATTGGAGATTGCTTCTTATGAAATTACTTTCTTTTTCAAAATTTTCAGTTAATAATGTAAAATTTCCAAATCAAGAGCAAACGTGGCACTGTGTATCTTAAATGAGTATCATATCCTCATTATGCGTGTGTAAGCAAAACAAAACAAAATAAAATAATTAATTATAAAAATAACTATTATATTAATATATATTTAAAAGAGAATATCATTTCTACATTAAAAGCAGCGGAGAGAAAGCATTGTGGAATGAGAGAGAAAGATATTATTGGAGTCCACTGCCATTCTTGGTCCGTGGCAATATCATTTATCTGCTTTTAAAATAGAAATGATATTCCCTATTTAAAATTCTAAAAGATGTTACTTTGTTATTCCCTAAATTTGAGAGTAAAATATTTATAAATAAAATTTTCACTAAATTTTGGATGTAAAAAGTGAATCTATAAAGTATAAAGAGGATTTGTAGTTTTTTTTATAAATAATCTCATATTTATTTAGATAGTCTTTTTATTTTATTTTTCCAAAAATAGAGACGCGTACCTCGATTTCTAATATTCCAGGAGAATTTTCATCAATATCAACTCGAATGCCCACAATGTTTTGCCATTTTAATTCAATCTTCTTCTTTATACCATCTTGTAATATCTCCAACACCAGTTTTTGACTAGCATAGTAACACTTTGCCATCAAGACTGCTGGATATTTAGCCTCGACCTGCACATGATATTTGTGGTTAACAATTTAATCAAAATGAACACTCTTTGCCTTTTATATAATTCAACTAGAAGCTTCCATGATTTAATTCAAAAAAATTATTAGAACTTTCCAATCTTATATGCAATTGAGTTTTGCAAATATATTTTTAAATTACAGTTGGATAGTTATATCAGGTTAGATGCTAATTTCGATTGAATAAAAAATTAAAAAAACTTAATTAACCTTGAAAAATCCGATCCTGAGCATATCCATATGAAGGTGGGAAGCTTTAAATTTCTCAGCTTTCTCGTCTGCATGTTGAGTCCTTATGAGCTTTAACCCGTGGGGTGGTGGAAGTTTGCAAATGTCTTTCATGCCTGGATAAGAAGAATAAATACCTTCATGATTCGAATCATTATGAACCCAAAGCGTGTAGGTGATTTTTTTTTTTTTTTTTTTTATAATTAAAAAATTTAGATTAGGATAAGATACATCCTTAAAAGATCATAGAAGATAATCTTAAAAAAAATAAAATCTGCATATAGGAAATAATAAAATTATCAAGTAATGTTATGTGGGAAAAGTTATACTTATTACTGGAAAGTAAGGCTGTAAATAGATTAAGTTAGACTAAGCCTTGACTTAAATAGATTAGGTCTGAGTAAGAAAAATTTACTCTTGGCCTATATTACAAGTGTGTAAGACCAAATTACAAGTTTAGTCAACCAAATTTAGATTAGGCGGTGTAAGACCAAATTACAAGTTTAGTCAGACTTGTATTTTAAAAATAAAAGTTTAGGCTTAGGCCTGTTAGCCTATTTAAGTTTATTAAATATTTAATAATTAAAAAATAACTAAAATAATATTACTTTATTATTCGAAATTATTAAAATAGTAATTTTATTTATTTTATTTAAAATAAATAATATGTTATAGGTTAAACATATACAAGAAAGCCTATGACCTGCTTTCTAAATAGGCTTTTTAAAAAGCCTAGGCATGTTATATTTGACTATTTGTAATAGGCAAAGTCTGGCCTAATATAGGCTTAGCCGTAGGCCCCTCTAGGTTGGCCTAGCACATTCACACCTCTACTGAAAAGTTTTACAACTCTTATTACTAAACTAATCAAAGTTAATTTCTTGTACATACCCATCAACAACTTTTTTGTATTTTTTTTGTATTTTTTTGTATCTTTTAAAATTTTAAAATATCTAAACACTGATTAAATGATTTATGTGGATCTGTTGAGATATATAGTCCCACATTAGTTAGATGTGCAACT